TCTTTTTCTCTATTTTCTTTCCATTTTCTTGAATTAATTAAGTACATATTATTATTCCATTTTCTCTTCTAGTTAAACATTCTATGTCTAATCTTGTAGGGTTTACCCTAAATTGTAACATGCATCCTTAATTTGTTCAATTTCCAATATAGACTAGTGCCTTTAAATTATGTTAACTAACTCCATTTACTGACCATGCAGTTTTGGCTGTTTGTTTTCATACATTTTGTTTATCACATATTTCAAACTCTACAAGGTATTATTATTACTCTTTTATAAAGATGAGCTTCCTTTAGTCACCCACATATTTACTTTTCCCATTCTTTCTTTCTTCTAACATCTGCTAGTTTCCATCCAGGATCATTTTCCTTCTCTGTTAAGTCTGTTGCCAACAGAATAACATTTTGAAAATATATTCATTTTGCTCTCATTTTTGAAGGCTGTTTTCACTGGGTAAGGATATTGGAATAGGCACTCTGAAGCACTTTGAAGATATTCCACTGTCTTCTGGTTTCCATTATTTCTGTTGAAGAGTAAGTCAGTCCTGTTGTTGGTCATTTGAAGGTAATGTGTCTGTTTTCTCCAGCTGCTTCATAGATTTTTCTTTTTGTATTTGGTTTTAAATAATTTGACTATGATGGGACTAAATATTTTTTAATGTATGTATTTTGTTTGGAGTTTATTGTCTATGGCTTGATACATTTTCATTGATTTAAGAAAATTCTTGAATATGTTACTTTCATGTCTTGTTTCAGGCCAATTCTTTCCCTTTCTTTAGGGGTCCAGATTACATATATGCTCAACTTCTCTATCATGCCATATATGTCTCCTGTGTTTTGTTTTGTTTTTGTTTTTATTGTTCTATTTTCTATCCTAGATCTTCTCCAGTCTTCTATCTGGATATATTCTACCTGCCCATATTCAGTTTGTAATCATTTTCAGCTGTGTCTTATCAGATATTAAACCCATCTACTGAGGTCCAAGCTTCAGATATTGTATTTTTCAATTCTAGAATATCTACTTGATTTCTAAAATGGTTCATGTTCTCTGTTGACATTTTCCATTTTATCCTTGATTTTCTTAAACCTATTATAGTTGTACTAAAGTTTGTGCTTGATACATACAAATATTTTAATCTACTGTGGGTCTGTTTCTATTGTTTTTTTTTTCCTCTTGGTCTTCAGTCATTTGATCTTTTCTCCTGGCATGCCTGGTAGTTTTTGATATGATGCCAGATACTCCTTATGGAAAAATTATAGAGAAAATTTGAGTCCTAGATTTTGTGAACATCCTACAGAAAAGATTCACCTTTGCTTCTCACAGGCAGTTAAGCAGAGGCAAATAATTTTAGCCAAAATAGGAATAGTTTCAAAGTTGGTTTGGGGCTCTTTTTGCCTGACTTGTTAGTCTTTACTTCTAGTTTACAGCCCTTTAGATGTCCCATCTGAAATTCTGAGTGTTTACCAGGATCCTCTTTCGTGGTGTGTCTTGAACACTGACTTGTGTCTTCCCAACCCTTTGAGACTGCCAGAACTCTGCTTAATGCTGCCTACAAATCAATAAATGCCTTGAAGGAAAAAGCAGAGGTGAATGTCAAATTCATGTTCCCTTGTTGATCATCATTCATCAAGCTCTTGCTAAGTTGATAGGTCTCCAATGCCATCAAACAGATTTGTAAATATATATTTTAATCAACTTTTATACTTGTTTTGTGTGAGCAGGGAGAGTTGTGCTTATAGTAGCTGGCCTATATCATAGTTATAGGAGAAGTCGCAAACTTCATACTCTTAATCACTGCTGTATGCGGCTTTGTAAACAGACAAGACCCACTCCTCTAAGTATTTATGATTTAGTTTGGAGAAAACCTCAGAGAGAACTCTTTTCTTTCTTTTTTTTTTTAAATAAATTTATTTATTTATTTATTTGGCTGAGTTGGGTCTTCATTGCTGCACACAGGCTTTTCTCTAGTTGTGGCGAGTGTCCTTGTGGTGTGCGGGCCTCTCATTGTGGTGGCTTCTCTTGTTGCAGAGAGACTCTAGGCACACGGGCTTCAGTAGTTATGGCATGTGGGCTCAGTAGTTGTGGCACGTGGACTCAGTAATTGTGGCTCACGGGCTCAGTAGTTGTGGCTCGCGGGCTCTAGTGTGCAGGCTCAGTAGTTGTGGTGCATGGGCTTAGTTGTTCCACAGCATGAGGGATCTTCCCAGACCAGGGCTCGAACCCGTGTCCCCTGCACTGGCAGGTGGATTCTTAACCACTATGCCACCAGGGAAGTACCAAGAACTCTTTTCTAATAGAATATTACAATGTGTTTATGGACTAAACTAAATTAAGAGGATCTGGGAACTCTTTGAGGCTGTGGGCCATGCTTTACTAATTTTTATGTCTTAAGTATTTGCTTGATAAATTTGGTGAGTTGGATGGACATGAAAACGAGTACTCTAGGAGTTTAGGGTAGAACAGAAGGATTGTGTGAGCTACAGTATCCAGGTAGGGTTGAGTAGGTCATAAGGGGTTTCTTGGTAGATGTCTAATGTTTGTGTAGGTTGAGGGGAAAAGAAGCAAAATTCAAGGAGAAAACATGTGCCAAGCCTGAAGGTAAAGCTGGCAAGCATAGGAGACAATGAGGAGACCAGTCTAACTGTAACAAAGTATTTGTGTTAGGGAGTAAGTGCTAGATGGATAGAGTGGAGGCATATGGTGGGAAATGGGGAATCCAGATTGTGGGAAGTTGATTGTCTTCCATGGCAAAAGGGTTTTCATAATACTTCCATGGAATGTTAATAGAAGTTAAGCCAAAAAAAAAAGAAATAAAGAAGACACTGAGGTTTGGGAAACATTGGTTTAAACAGATTTGTTTACTGCAAAATTTCTTTGACCCTTTAAACTGTGCATGCTGAATTTCCAAAATTGTTTAAACTCAGCAAACTTTTGATTATAAAGGAACAGTGATTCTTGGAACATATTTGGGAAATTGGGATATGTGGGCATTGAGGAGACTCTTGCTGGAATGTTACACTAGCATGAAAGACTCATGAAATCTGGAACTTTTATGATATTGTTCACAGTTCTACCCTTGAGAAGAATATCTTGCAAAAGTATTTTTTCGGTATATCTTAATTGAATGAATTGTTGGTTTTAGTGGATGAAGGAAGAATGAGATCAGGGTGAAGTCAAGATGAATTTACCAATGTGAATCTGATAGTGTGGTAAAGGATGGACTGCAGGGGAAGAGGCTAGAAGCTGAAAAACCAAAAAGGAAGCTGTTAAAATTATCCAGACCTAAGATGTTTTCTTGGACGTGGTGACCCTTGAAAATGGAAACTAAAATGGATAACAGTGATATTTTGCAAAGAGAGTTGACAAGACATAGTGATGGATTAGATGAAGGAGGAAGGAGGTTCTCAAGGAACCCAGAGAGTTCAGATGGCTCTGAGGTTGATGAAGTAGGGAAGAAGGAATTTCTGTACAAGACTTTGTTCTGTTTCCTTCATGAAGCCTAATGATTTGATAGATAGGATCATAAAGTATCTAATTCCATGAACTTTTACCTTGTGTTTGAGAACTTTCTTTTTTTTTTTTTATTAATTTAGCGGCGCCACCTGGCTTGTGGGATCTTAGTTCCCCAACCAGAGGTCGAACCCAGACCGCAACAGTGAAAACGCTGAGTCCTGAGTCCTAACCACTGGGCCACCAGGGAATTCCCTTGAATACTTTTTGTGTAGAAAAGATCACAAGTTTTTAAACAGCAAAGCTATGTATGGGAGAGAGTTTGCATGAAAAATACAGGAAAATACCCATATTTTAAAAGAACACACTGAATTTGAGTGAAAGCAAATATATTGTGCAAAGATTCTGACTTAGGCAACTTTTCTTCCAGCTCGTAATTCTGTGATATCTATGTATAAAGTATGCTAATTAGAACATTAGAAATTTAAGGTGATGCAGATTAGGCAATTATTTTGAGCTGCTTCTTTTCCAAAAGAAACTGGAGTGTTCTAGGATTACCAACAAGTGGGCTTCTGATTTGGGGAGTGAATAGGCTGGGAGGTTGGAAATATAGGTTCTGTCTAGTCTAGACATTCTAAGAGTCAAAACATAGGCAAACCTGAACTATCACCATCACCCGCTATGTCTGATCAAACCTTATGAGTCCCAAGGGAGCTGACTTCACCTCAGAAGAAGCAACAAATGGAAAGCAAGCAGCACAGACTTCAGACTCACAGACTTAGATTTAAATCCTAGGGGAGGATAAGTTGCTTCTTAGCTTTTAGTCTACTTATCTATAAAGTCGGAATAGTCATCTCACAGGATAGTAGTGAGGATTAAATAAGATATAAAAGGACTAGCCCCGTAGGAATTAGGCACGCGTGTATACATCAGTGAATGAATACTGTGTTATAGTCCCTTAGATACACCTTCTACCTACCAACCAGACCTGCTTCCCATCTAAAAATCATATGTCCATTAGTATTGCATCTAGGGACCTTGAAGGATGCCACCTTTGTGATGAATGACAATTAGGAGTGATGATAAAATTGAGTTAATAATGATATCACCAGAAAAAAATATTCAAAACCGTTTTCAAAGGATTTCCAAGTAAAGTATGGTAGTTCTAAGGGTCAGGTGTTGGTGGGGCTAGAAAAAAATTTTTTCCTTGCTGGGAAAGTTGTAAATACATAGGTAGTAATATCAAGAATAAAAATGAAGTGACTCTAGGCTTCCCTGGTGGCGCAGTGGTTGAGAGTCCGCCTGCCGATGCAGGGGACACGGGTTCAAGCCCCGGTCTGGGAAGATCCCACATGCCGCGGAGCGGCTGGGCCCGTGAGCCATGGCCGCTGAGCCTGCGCGTCCGGAGCCTGTGCTCTGCAACGGGAGAGGCCACAACAGTGAGAGGCCTGCGTACCGCCAAAAAAAAAAAGAATAAAAATGAAGTGACTCTAAACAGCAAATCATGGTTTTCACTAATTGTAACTAACATCTTCTTTCCATTATACCAGTGAGAAGAAGCTCATTACAGATGCCCTTAATAAAAATCAATTTCTGAAGAGACTGGATCCTCAGCAGATCAAAGACATGGTGGAATGCATGTATGGGAGAAACTACCAGCAAGGGAGTTACATTATTAAGCAAGGAGAACCAGGAAACCATATCTTTGTACTGGCAGGTGGGCTTCACAGATTTTTCCAGTCACCATGTAATAAATATTTGCCTATAGTTTAATGATTTTTTGCAAACATTTATAAAAATGCAAAATTGGTTGCTCTATTTGTAGAAAACATAACAGATTGAGCTCATGGAATAGTAACCTTGTTGATCATGTTGCTAATACTTAATATTGACAGAATGCTTTCTCTATGTCCAGCATCCTACTGAGAACGTAATAGAAAGATCTCATTTCAACTCACCGACTCTGTTAGGCAAGTGCTACTATCTTCATGTTACTATGTGGACTGTGTCACAGAGAGGTTAAGTAACTTACCCAAGGCCACACAGCTCATTAGTGGTGGAGGTAGAATGCAAATTTAAACAATCTGATTAAAGAGTCCATACTTTTAATCACAGTGCCACTCACTCAACATATACAAGAAGGTGTTTCAGAGTATTCAAAACACAGCTGCTTGTGTTGACCTTTTTCCATTGTTGTACCATGGAAAAGAAAATAATTATTTTTGTGACTTTGTAAAATATTTTCGTTGTATACCAATGATTTCAAAAGACAATTTAGGTACATTTAACCAACAGATAAGTCAAATGGAATGCCTTAAGGTTAAAGCTGGTGTTTTTAGAACCATTTAAATGGCTTCCTCCATACATGATCCCTTGAACATGCTTCCATGCTGGGTAGATCATAATGGTTAGATAGGAAAAGGATTTATTTCTCAAATGCTTACCAAACACATAAATCTTATACTGGAATTCAACAATTTGTTTTTTAGATCTAGAAGCAAGAAATCATCTGAACAGTGTTTACAGTTATTGAATGCCCTGTCAAATTCTGAATTGCCTCCAATTTTTGAGTTTTAGGGAAAAAAGTTGACTGGCTTGCTCAGAGGTAGTGGTAACCTGGGATGTGCTGTGGCCTTTTATTTTGCACTGTAAGTCCTGACGATCTAAGCAATGCTTTATAAGCTTTATAATTTTTTGTTTTTGGTACACGGGCCTCTCACTGTTGTGGCCTCTCCCGTTGAGGAGCACAGGCTCTGGACACGCAGGCTCAGCAGCCATGGCTCACGGGCCCAGCCGCTCCGTGGCATGTGGGATCTTCCCGGACTGGGGCATGAACCCGTGTCCCCTGCGTCGGGAGGCGGACTCTCAACCACTGCGCCACAAGGGAAGCCCATAAACTTTATAATTTTTTATTGATGGCCAGCTATGGTCAAAGCCCAGTGCTGAGTTCTGAGAGAGACACAGGTGAATAAGACATGATTCCCATGGGAGGTTACATTCTGGTCAGTGGCCTGCAACTTTAGACAAATCCTTGTATAGCAAGGAGGGGTAAAAAGAATCACAGAAACTAAGGAACAAAGTTAAGCAATGCTTTTATGATTCTTGTTTCCTTGAGGCCTTAGGTGTGGAGCAGAAGTTGCCTATCCAAACAAATTAATACACATCTATTGACAGTGTATAAAAGATTGTTTTCTCTATTTTGATTCTTTAAACATGCCAGTTGCATAATTATTAGTGTATTATTTGCCACATACGTCTTTGTAGACGGCCTTAAAACTATAGTCATCCTCAAGTAATTATTCTCCCCAAGAAGTGAATTACAGTCTTAATTTAGCCAGCCTTCAAGTTTTAGGGACAGGTGACCCAGAGCAATTTCCCCCTCTTTCAACTTTTCTCTTGGCTCTTTCACTTCTACTTTAGCAACACTAGAACATTCTGGCAAGAGGAGATAGGGCATTAAGTCAACCAATATTTAGGAAACCTGCAAGGAAGGATGAGAAACTCATGTCAGCTCATCTTGAACTTTGCCAGCAACTCTGATGAAAGGCTTGCGGAGAGAAGGGTTTGAACAGAAATCAGTATCAATATAGTTATGGAAGTCAGGGCTATAGCACACATGGAAATGAAAATTGGACACTTTCTTATTTGAATTAATTATGATGTTATCTAAGAATTGAATTGTGTGATTTAATTGATCAAGCAAATAGTCTGTTAATTCAAAATCTCCCCTTTATAAAATAGAGCAAGAATAGCAAATAGTAAAAGCACATTTAGCTTAAACTTTTGGTATTCCATGTAATTGTTCAGCGTTGCTCAAGTCCCATGTGCCATAACGAATTAGAAAAAAACTTGAAATGCATAAAGTTCCATGATACTAACTCAACAGTGAAGCTAAGTAGTTTTGGTGGAATAGAATTTAGTTATAATGAGAAATTATTAGATTGCATAACTAATATATAAGATTCGGAGCCAAAACAGAATTTATTTCTTACTAGAATATAAGTTCTAACAGGATAAATATCTTTTCTGTTTTGTCTACCCTGTCTCTCTTTCACCTGGGCTAGTTCCTGGCACAGCATAGGTATTCATATCAGATGCACTGAATGAGTGGGTGGATGGAGATGACCCAGAGCTACTTAGTGGTGAATTAGGAGAAGGAAAGACCATTTCTTCAAGGGAAAGATAAATAACCCCACCATTTTCTTCCTCTAAGAATATAGGTCTTGGGCTTCCTTGGTGGCGCACTGGTTGAGAGCCCGCCTGCCGATGCAGGGGACACGGGTTCGTGCCCCGGTCCGGGAAGATCCCACGTGCCGTGGAGCGGCTGGGCCCGTGAGCCGTGGCCGCTGAGCCTGCGCATCCGGAGCCTTTTCTCCGCAACAGGAGAGGCCACAACAGTGAGAGGCCCGCGTACCACAAAAAAAAAAAAAGGAAGAATATAGGTCTTTTTTTGCAAATGCTTTTGATTAGCTAAGGTTTTATTTGCATTTGTTTGAAGGGAAAAGAGAAGAGAATTGCCAGGGCAGAAGCACGGTGAGGAAGTTGCCTCTCCCTTCCCCCAAGCTCTGCTTAGCCAAAGTTTGGTGTCAAGCACTCTTCTTTTTCTTTTTTATGAATTTAATTTTTAGAGCAGTTTTAGGTTTATAGCAAAATTGATAGGGTGGAACAGAGATTTCCCATATACCCCTGCCTCCCCACATCCACAGCCTCTCCTGTTATCAGCATCACTCACCAGCAAGGTACAGTTTTTTTGGGTTTTTTTTGTTTTTGTGCTTTTTTGCGGTACGCGGCTCACCGTTGTGGCCTCTCCCGTTGTGGAGCACAGGCTCCGGACGCGCAGGCTCAGCGGCCATGGCTCACGGGCCCAGCCGCTCCGCAGCACATGGGATCTTCCCGGACCGGGGCACGAACCCGTGTCCCCTGCATCGGCAGGCGGACTCTCAACCACTGCGCCACCAGGGAAGCCCTGTGGCTTGTCTTTTAATTCTCTTCTTAGTGACTTCATTTATTAATGCATTTCAATGAATGAGGGGTTAGGCAACAAGCAAGGCACGGTGAGGTAACGTACCCAAGGTCACATGGCCAAAGACTAGTCAGAGACTCCAGGGCCAGCATACTTCTCAGTTATGACAAGTTAGTCCTTCCGCCAGTGTGAACACCTGTGCTGTGTTTTCCAGACGTACAGTGATTGTTGTGTTCCTTGTGCAAGAGAAATAGTTTCATGTGGTACATTTTTCATGGGGTTAGAATGAATTTTAAATGAACCACTTGCCACCCACTGCTTCAGGAAAGAGCTTTGTAACAATCCCAATAATAATAATATGGGATTTCGTTTGTTTGTTTTTGTTTTTTGTGGGGTTTTTTTGGCTGCACTGCCCAGCATGCAGGGTGTTAGTTCCCCGACCAGGGATAGAACCTGTGCCCACCTGCAGTGGAAGCACAGAATCTTAATCACTGGACCTCTAGGGAATTCCCAACAGCTAACACTTACACGGCATCTACCAGGTGCTAGCCATGGATCTGTGATCCTTACCTGTAGTAATTCATTTACTTCTCACAACTGTATGAAGTAAATATTATTAATATTATCCCCATTATTGATGAGGAACCCAGGCAGAGTGGGTAAGTCTTCAGGCTAATCAGCTAATAGAGAGTGGGCTTCAGTCTGCATTCTTAACCACTTTATTATAATGAGAATCATAATATATCTTACCTGTATGCCTTGTATACCTTCTGATTGTTTTTTTTAACCTATGGAATCCAGGTGGATTTTGATTATTTGTGTTTTCTTACATTCTACTTGATAGAGGGTCGACTAGAGGTGTTCCAAGGGGAGAAATGGCTATCATCCATTCCTATATGGACGACGTTTGGGGAACTAGCCATTTTATACAACTGTACAAGAACTGCCTCTGTGAAAGGTAACAGGAGATGAAATGCTGTATTTTTAAAATTGTTACACAACGTTAAAGATAACCTAAGACACTGTTGCATCCTGAGTCTTTTTGTCTCCCATTGTGCCCTGTATGCTCTTATTAATAGAAAGGCTATGCTTATAAAAGGATTTATATTGAAGCCCTTGTCTAAATGATTCAAGCTTAAAAAGATCTTTCCGTCAGATACCTGTATATAAAATATGAATATGGCTTTAAACAGAATTGATTCCAGTATTTGCTATCGTTGCCACTTCAATTTTTTATTATGTAGACATTGGCCTTTGGCTCATCCAGCATGTTTGTTTTCTATTCTCCATAAGGTTCTGACCATATTACAAACCAGAAATTTAATTAAACCAATAAAAGTGTATAAATATCACAAAGGATGTGAATTAATTAATGAGAGTTTTCATGAGTGACTTTTGGGATTAGTTCAGTTGCTTCTCCTTAGGGTTCTTGTTTTTATCGACTTTATTCATGGCAATATCGGGTTTTCTTCTGAATTACTTAGATGTGGTGTTTCTCAGAGTTTGGGACGAGGTTATGTGTGTCAGCATTGATAAAAATGCAGATTCTGGGGCTCCACTCCAAATACTCTCTGACAATGGGGCCCAGGGATCTCTATTTTTAACAAGAATGTCAAAATAATTCTAATTCACTCTAACGTTTAGTAAACCAGAGATTTTGACTTTGATCTCTTCTGTAGGCCCTCATCACTCCTTTAAAAAATATCTTACTACCATAATTTCATACGGATTTTTTAGAGCTGCTACTTCTGTTCTTCTTTCTTCTTAGATTTTATTCTTGATTTTAATGTCTTTCCTATGAAAACGTTGTCCCAAAAGCTGTCTTGCATAATTTCTTTGAAAATGATTTTATGTATTTTATGTAAAAGTAACCATAGAGATTCTTAAAATATATTGGCTCCCGTTAGCAACAGTGTCTAAACAACATAAAAAGACATAAAAACAGACTCACACGCAGAGATCTTTAACTTTCAATTCTCTGCTTGTGAATTCTTCACTCTCTGGATTAGCTACAGGCTGGCTGGCTTTCTTTTGTATCACAGCACAAATCTAAAATACCTCCTGATGATGTAGTGTGTAATTAGGGATTGCAAACTAATTTTAATATCATCCTAAGCAAAACATAATTAGAATGGAAATCTTTTGCTGCTCACTTTCAAATCATTTATTTCAAAGCCAAAAATGATTTTATAAAATTACCTACTCTTGACATCACTGCTTCCTTCCATTTGCATGCTTAAATAATGCATTGTCCAAGAAATATCATTTTATGAGAGCACATGAAAAATTTATTGATTAACATGTTGGAATGTTTTCTTAATCTAAGAGCTAAACAATATTTTATTATTTTCTTGATTTTTCTAAAGCTATTACCAATGTTAAAACATGGGCACTAGATCGAGAGGTATTCCAGAATATAATGAGAAGGACAGCTCAAGCTAGAGATGAACAGTACAGAAACTTCCTCAGAAGGTAAGAATAACACATTGGTGGTGGAAATAGCAGAAGGTGGTGTAGCCATACTGTGCATATGTTGGTTTTATCAGAGTAATTATTTTACTACAGTCTTTCTTTTTTAAACATTTTCCATATGATTAAGCCAAAGGAACAAAAGAATTCTCTTGCAGTAAATGCCACTATATATATGAAGAATTATGTTTCATTCCCATTAGCCTTGTTCACTGATTTATTTCTCTTGCTAATTTTGCCCTTGTGTTGATGGAGTCATTGCACATAGTATAGAATAATGTGCATAAAATCCTAAAATATTCACTTGGGTTGCTCAGTTGACTTTGAAAGATGTCCTATAATTTGGAAGTAGATAACAAAAGATAATAATGCTTTGCTTAGAATAATATTAAAATAAATTATTTTACTATCCTTACTTGCTTTACCTGAGACATTTTTTCTCATTGCCATAGCCACACCATCTTCCAAATTACTATTATTTGCAGCAAATTAACTTGCCAAAAATGTTATTATGCTTGCTATCACGACATGGATCCTTGGAACATACACATTTTGTCAACTGTTCTGAACCCCCAACAACTTGGACGCATCAAATTACAGAGAAACAAGTACCTATGTAGCTGAAAAGGTCAGCTACACATTAAAAACATTTTTTTTTGGAAAGTATAAGTTCCTTATTTAAACTATTTCTGTGTCTTTTGTGGGAGATTTGACAGTCTCTGAAACTGCAATACATACTGTAATGAAATGTAACCTTTGATAAGTGGTAATAACAATAAAATATCCTGTGGTTTCCAAAAATAAATTCTAAGTTCTTTTTAAGTACAGTGACCTTTATCTTGCATAACTAGCCTGCAAAGTCAATGATTTTAGGGCCGTTCTGTGCCTAGCATATAGTGAGGACTCAGTGAATATTGAATGAAGGCATTGTTAATCAGTAGAACATTGCAGGCATTGAGGTTTTTCATATGGACGCTTGCTGATTTACTTTCCTGGAAACAATAATGACTCCTGGAAGAGAGCTGCAGTAATGACAAGAAGGTGCCTTACCTATATGACAATCGGTGCCTTAGCCATCATGTTGTGGGGTCTACCTGAGTATAGGTAATCTCAAAATCCAGCAACTGAGCAATGCAGGTCAGTATTTAAAGCTAATAAACTGCACTTATGCAAGGGCCAAAAAAGGATACAGAAATAAACCGATGCCCATGGGTTGCATCATGTCTGAGATAAAACCTGACCCACTAGGTTTTCCCTTGGAGTCTAGTGTGTTCTGCCTTAGTGGAGGGAGCTCAGAGAATTTACTAGTACAGGTTCCTTCCCTCCTTTTCTTCTTTTTGGTATCTCATTCATGCATTCATTCAATGAATACTTATTGCCAGGGCTGAACATTGTGGATTCAGTGGTGAACAAGATAAACCTGATCTCTGCCTTCACAGAGGGGAGACAGACAAAAGATTTTTTCTCATATCAATTTCCTCACCAATCCCCAAAGGTGATAGGCTTACAGGAGAGAATTTTCACTAACACTACAGTGCCCAGTTTGGACCCGAAGTAGAACTTTCATGACGGGCATGTGTTAGTCAATTAAACCAAAGGAACAAAAAGTATTCCCTTTTCTTCTATATGCCACTATATAGAAAAAAGTTCTGGTTAACCCTTTTACCTTTTCATCCATAAGGAGACACATTAGAGAAATACATTTCTCTTTGTTTCATAATATACAGTAAGCTCTTTTCCATTTACACCTTTTTATTATGAACTATCTGACATGTATCAAATGATACATAGTACATATGTAAGTTTTAATAACATAACAAAGTGAGCCCCATCAAGCTACGGGCCCAGCCTAAGTAGAAAGTTAGCAATGTTGTTGGCATTCTCATTTGCTCCCCTGTGTCATTTTCTAGCCTTCCTTGGGGTACCTCCTCTCCTTGGAGTAGTCTGTATTCTGAAGTTTGGTAATCGTAAACTTGCTCTTCTTTATTATTCTGCCTGTAGCTTGGTTTAGCCTTTTTTTTTTTTTTTTTTGCAGTACGCGGGCCTCCCACTGCTGTGGTCTCTCCCGTTGCGGAGCACATGCTCCGGACGCGCAGGCTCAGCTGCCATGGTTCACGGGCCCAGCCGCTCTGCGGCACGTGGGATCTTCCCGGACCAGGGCACAAACCCGTGTCCCCTGCATCGGCAGGCGGACTCTCAACCACTGCGCCACCAGGGAAGCTCCAGTTTAGCCTATTTTTGAACTTTACAAAATTGGTGTTATTTTTGCAAGTCAATTTTTTCACTCAATACATTTTTTAAGGTTCATCTACTTGGTTAGTGCAGTCATTTCTTCTGGTGTAGAGTTCTGTTATCTGACTCGACCACACACAGTTCATATATCTGCACTCCGATTGGGCATGTTCCAGTGTTTTGCAATTACAAATGATTCAGATGCAGACATTCTTAGACCCAGCTCCTGGCTACATGCCTCCTGGTCCTTGTGTTCAAGAATGAGTCTAGAGCTCTCTTTTCAAAACTCAGATCCAATCATGTATTTATGGAGGAGCATCATTTTTTCCTTAGGAGTGTCAAATTTTAGATGGTTAGAAAAAGGTATCTATCTTATAGAAATTATATCAACAGTCCTGAGTGAAAATGGGTAAAGTAGAAATTTCTCTAAAAAAACAATTTAATCAAACTGATGGGTTAATCATACTGAATGGAATTTTTTCTTTTGCGGTACGTGGGCCTCTCACTGCTGTGGCCTCTCCCGTTGCGGAGCACAGGCTCTGGACACGCAGGCTCAGTGGCCATGGCTCACGGGCCCAGCCGCTCCACAGCATGTGGGATCCTCCCAAACCGGGGCACGAACCCATGTCCCCTGCATCGGCAGGCAGACTCTCAACGACTGTGCCATCAGGGAAGCCCCTGAGTGGAATTTTTAAAATTTTTTTCAAACAATTTCAGTATTCTGTCATTCTCTGTATATTATTATTATCTGTAAAAATGTTCCTATTACATGCCTCTGGCTACCATTAATTTTAAAAGACTGTACAATATGACTAATAATCAAGATCATTTCCATGCTAATTCCTACATTCCCTCCTGGATTCAGTCTTTACTTAATTACAAGGATTTAGATGAAAATCTGATTCTCCTGTGGAAGCAGAGGTCCTCATCCATGCTAATAAAAGAGATATTGAGATGTGGAACACATTTCTGGATGTGATTCACTTCGTAAGCCAACAACAAATGTAATTTTTTTTTCTCCAAAGAAACAAAATTTGATTTTTTTCCTTTCATGGGGTCTTACTATTTTTATTTATTTACCTGTGATAAATATCTGCTGTTTTATGTGATTATATGATTTCAATGTATCTGAAATTCAGTTATTTATGTGTGATATATTTGGAGGTTTACTTTGGAAAAATTAAAGTGCATTATATTTTTAAAATGCATGCATGAATCTATGTAGAGGTGTATATTTATAGTTTAATTCATGATGATAATTAAATAAAAGTTTCTTTTTAATTTTGCAGCGTATCCTTGCTGAAGAATTTACCTGAAGATAAATTAACCAAGATCATTGACTGCTTGGAAGTGGTAAGAAATTTTAAAATAAAAACTATATTTCATTCAAAGACTATACGATCTAGTCATTATTAGCACCGTAAATGATTAAAAAGGAAAAGATGGTGATCACCAGTCCACAGAGACCAGGAGCCTTTTTCTATTGTGAAAACTCACACTGAATTAAGGGGCTGGGGTGGGGTTCGGGGACTCTTCTGAAATATATAAAAGAAAATTGGATTTGCATGTGTAAAGTGACATTTGATTTACATATTTTAATCTTTTTAGTATATTTTATAAAACTAATCTGCCTCACTCAAGAGGCATTTGATTTTCTGCAATTAACATCACAATCCCTTACAGAGTTTTCGTAGTATGAAGGAGTCAGTGATGCATAATTAGGTAATGGAGTAGAGAAAGGGTATATTGGGACTTTCGTGACCAGGCTTCTGAATCAAGCTATGAAACATTCCATACTTGAAAACTCTAGGCTATGAAGACTTTAAAGAAAAACAAAAAACAAAAAAAACCCTGTACTTAAGAAGCACTTTACCTATTTTAACATCTAGGGAAAAATGACGTATTGGAACGTGTTCAAAAATTCATATTAGGCATCACGCCGATGGTGAGTTCTTGTCCAAGACTAGTCAAATCTTTTTGTGAATAATGCTTTTATGATATGTACCTTGGATTCTAATAATTTTCATTATATGAAAACCTCTTCAGAGATTAATATTCAAAGTAAATAACCTCTGTCTAACTTTTATTTGGTGTGTGTCGGTCAATTTCATTGAAACCAAATTGCTTTTTGGGAATTTAAAGGAGGTAAGGAATAGTAAAGGAGTCAGATGTAGACTTTAAGATTTTATAAAGCTATTCTCAGTGGGAGACAAAAAATACCCTGCAAGACTGATTGTTGACAGATTCATGCCTCTGTCAATCTCAATATACAATGTAAACTAATACCTGTTGAGAAGGGAGCACCAACCATTTTATCCTTAAGTGTAAGTGACACCAGTAATGTTTCCATTTACAATTCATGGAACCCATCCAGCAGTTTATCAAGGACACGCCATGATGACACAGTGCCTGGCCTTGTGTCCCCAGAGCGTTCAGATACAAAGTCATTTTCAAGAGGACTGCTTGCCCTGCATCTCTTGGGATTTTCTCAGCGTAACATAACCCAATCACAGATGTTACAAATTAATAATTCATCCTAATTTCTGAGTGTTTTTTTTTTAAACTGGAGAGGCCCTATATTTTTTTGTTAACCGAGGAAATCTGTTTTTAATATAACACTAATAGAGTAGATTCACCAGAGGGGAATTCCATGCTGACAGAAAATATTAAAATTTAGTATCATTAAAAGTAAATGGTAAATTAGACATATTTATAGTAGCCACAGGCAATAGCTACAGAATATATAGATGGGGGCTCCAACCTAGTATTAATTAACACACAATTCGAATTTGAAAGTCTCATCTTTTAAAACACCCTAGAAGGCTTTATTATATATTAGCATTTGCAGAAAGCAGCGTGGTTTATAAAGGGCTCTTTACTCATACCTGGCAACAAATGTGTCTCTGTAATATGTGAAAATTCACAAATTCGAAAGTGATTAACAAGGGAGTAATGGGATCTATTTAGCGCTAAGAAAAGCACATAATTTACCAGCATAGCTTGGACTAATGACCCATCAATTGGGTCCTGACCACAGCCAATCACTAATGCGTTGGAGTTATGACAGAACACCTGCTGAGTTCCAGGGCCAGCTGTCCCACAAACTGGCTCCATAATCTTTGAGAAAAACAGGCTGAGTCTGGCATGCTATTTAGGAGTTGATTTTGGGTGGTTTTAAGTTTTTGTGCAGGGGGTGGGGAGGGAGTATCAGAATTTCCCATCACCAAGCAGTTGTTCTGATGTGTTTGTTAAGACTTTGGTTTGTTGAAGTCCTAGACCACATGGCCTGAATGTGCAGTGTTCCAACAGCATTTCTTGCTTTAGCATAAATCACCCAGAGTATTCAGTTCTGGAGGCAGACATTGCCTTTAAACCTCTTCTCGTGGTCTAATGGGAAAAGAAGGATGGGAAAAGTAGCAACACATTCACTGGTGTGCTTTAAGAGTTAACTAATGAACACCCTAAAGCACGACTCAGATTCCAAATGCAGTGTGACTATTAATGATAATGAAAATGACAATATGACTTCTGTACCTGGCAGTTGGGTAGTACGGAAGACAAGAGTGGGAAGAGTTTCTATTCCCACTCTCGGTGAGAGATCCGGGAAGGCTGGGATTTGACTGTGTGGTGGCTCGAAAAGTTACGGAACTCTTTGTTACAGAGATTTGGTATTTGACCCAGTGACCCTCTGCACTGCCACTCTGACATGGCATCTTTCATGAAACTGGAGCTCTAGTGGGAGTGGGGCTGGGGTGGGGAATGTGAAATGTCCTTGTCCTTAATCAGATCACCAGTGATGCTTCTTAAAAGGCAGATTCCCAGGTACTACCTCACACTTACTGAATCAGGAACTCTGGGGTAGGGACCCAGAAATCCACATTTTAACATTTTAACAACACGATTCTTAAAGTTTAAAGTTATGAACTGAATACATATATTTAGGGTTTGCCATAGTCTGCCTCTTTGGTCACAAGTTTTCCATTTTTCATCATTTTTTGAAAGTCTAGTCTTCCTTTCTTATAGTTCCTGCTAACACTTGCATAAGCCGGAGGGTTTTTCTCATTTTAATGGTTACATCTAGAACCATAAGAAAGTTGAGATAATTGTGGATTTTGCCAGTTTATGGACCTGTTAATTAAAGGGGGAGCAGCTAGGTGCCCTAGAAAGTTAGCTAGTCCAAAGTCTGGAGATTAAGGTTTATGGTCAAGCCTCTGTCCCTCGCAGCTGTCAGTTAATTGTGGTGGGCATCAGGGTCATCTCATCTATAAAATAAGGGGGTGCTGGGTCACATCTCTACGGGCTGTCTCAGTGTTTCAGTTACAAAATTCTATACAGTTGGCTCACCCAAATGGAGGAATTTCTGTTGATTTTCATTTTGTAGGCTCCGGTTCCTTGGAAATAAGCAATCAGATGCTAAATTATGCCGGAATGGTTGATAGGGTCCACCTCATCCAGGTGTGTTTGCTTTAAAATTTCTAAGGTGTTTTAACTACTTTACTTGGACAAGCAAAAATAGCTGGCAGCAAACCCCAATAAATGTATACAGTTTTTTAAACAATCAACTTAGGGACATGGTCACATGATGCAGGGTTTGTGTGTGTGTGTGTGTGTGTGTGTGTGTGTGTGTGTGTGTGTGTGTGTGTGTGTGATCATACATCTGACTGTGTATCATCAATTCTTTGTTTTTTTGTTTGTTTTTTTTGCGGTACGCAGGCCTCTCACTGCTGTGGCCTCTCCCGCTGCGGAGCACAGGCTCCGGACGCGCAGGCTCAGCGGCCATGGCTCACAGGCCCAGCCGCTCCGCGGCATGTGGGATCTTCCGGGACTGGGGCATGAACCCGTGTCCCCTGCATCTGCAGGCGGACTCTCAACCACTGCGCCACCAAGGAAGCCCCATCAATTCTTCTTTGTGATGAAGATTTCTATCCGCACACTAAGGAAACTAAGGAAATCATAGGCTTGCTTCTTTGTCTTTGTCCTCCATCACCTTCGATTTTAATTCTGGTTTCATATATTCTATTTACAGGCACTCAGGCTCTATCATTTTGCTAGCTATCACAGAATGAGCATTTTCTTTACATGAAAAACTCTTTCCACCTTTAGCAGTTTCTGATGTATGGTTTTCTTCTTGTTGTTGTTTTTTTTTCCAGTGTATGATTTACTTTTAACCTCTGTCTCTCAGTCTGCCCTGGAATTGATTTCCTAAGTTTCCTTTTGGCCATATACTAAGTACCTACTCTCAGTGTTTCTAGATATCTTCTTTTAAATCATCTTTTTCAGACTGTGGGACACAACTCATTAGTAGGTCATAAAATCAATTTAGAGGAACACTTTAAAAAAATATCAGGGTAGTAAGCATAAGTATTGTTCAGATATGTTTCAGATTTATACAGATGTGTGTGTGCACGCTCACATGTGTGTATGTGGGTGTATATGTAAAATATGTTTCTTACTGTAGGTCAGGGTAAAAACTGCTTGAAAACCATTGCTTCACAGGGTAGGGTCTATGGCTTCTTGGTCCTCTAAGGGACCCCTTTGCAATGTAACCACAAGACAATAAACCACACTGTTTGAAGTTCTCTTTTTGGTCTTGGTGACCACCCTGGCTAGACTGGCTGCACTCCCCAGTTGACAAACACTGGCTAGTGTGGCATCGTAGCCAGTACTTACCACGATATATTTTTGGTCTGATCTACATCCACAGCCTTTTCTGATCTATGAAGTTACTGTCAACGCACTGGGAGGTATTATTTATCTTTCTCCCATGGTTTTGGGTGACAAAGACTCATCCCTGGGAAAAATACCACTAGGAAGCTTGCCCCTTAAGAAACAACAAAGCTCTTTCTCAGTGTTCCATTTCCAGCTTCTGCCTTTTGGCTTATCCAACTGACAGAAATTAAAGCTGCACATCTGCACAGACCAGAGGCTGTATAATAACTGAAGAACAGCCTATAAGCAGTTCAAAAATTCTCCAGATTCCTTCTGCTCTGTCTGGGCAATGGGGACTGAGATTGAGATAGGAACAGGAGAGCCTGAGACCGCCTGAAACAGGAAGGTCCACCGTGACATTAGCAGTTCTAGTAAAGAGAATTGAACATTAACTATGTCATGAAGACCCCTGCACTGCAGTGTCACGGTCACTCACTTAACCTTTGCGGGTCACAGTCATCTCAATGGTAAAATCACACTTGAATTGAGTGAAGGTTTGTGATAGAGCTATAATGAGAAAAAATAGAGAGTTGGAGTAAGCAGCTTGTGATGTAAAAACTCAAAATATTATTTTCCAGATAGAACAGAAGCATGTTTCTTGCTCACATAACAGTCCAGGGAGGATGGTCCTAGGTGGCTATGCAGAATCCTTCAGGAACCCAAGCTGATGGCTACTCTGCCATCTTCCACATGGTCCCTCTCACAGGATTTCTCTGGGACATGCCGTTACAAATGGGGCACAAGTATGAAGGCATGTGTCTGGAATGGTTCATGGGCCTGGCATGGAAGTGGCATATGTTGCTTCTACTCAGACCCTTTTAGCTGGAAGTTAACCACATGGCCACAGCTAACAGCAGGGAGGCTGGGGAATGCAGTTTACCTGTGGAAGACATTGATGACCAGCTCACATACTCTTTCTCAGGAATTAACAGTCACCAGGTGACTATCTCACTTAGTCCTCACACATCCTTAGGTGTGGTAGGTCATACCATCTTAATTTTACAGAATAGGAAACTGAGGTCCAGAAGATTTAAGTAACATTTAAGCAAACCGTTCTCAGCCTCCCCCTTAACATGGCAATCATTAATTGAGTATTTACTACATTTCAGGTGCTTTTAATGCATCAAAAATTAATTGTCTTTAATTGACTTATGGTGCTAGGCAAAAATGGACCCCCTCCAAAGTATCCACATCCTAAACCCTGGAATGCATAAATGCATTATGTTACATGGCAAAAGGAACTTTGCAGATGTAATTAAGGTTTGGGACCTTAAAATAAGGGAGATTATCTTGGACTATCTAGGTGGGTCAAGTATTATTACACGGGCCCTTAAAAGCAGAGAATTTTCTCTGGCTGGAATCAGAGAGATGCAGCACAAGTGGAAGTCAGAGAGATTCCAAGTATATGAAGAATTTCATGTGCCCTTACTGGTTCTGAAATATCGGGGGCTCTGTGCAAGGACAGGAGAGAAGTCTCTGGGAGCTAAGGGGGCAGCCCCCAGCTCACAGCCATCAGGGAAATGGGACCTTATCCTACAACCGCAAGGAACTGAATTCTGCCAACAACCTGATTACACTTGAAAGCAATTTTTTCCCCCGGAGCCTCCAGAAAGGAACACAGCCCTACTTATACCTTGACTTCAGCCTCGAGAGACCCTGAACAGAGAAATTCAGGTAAACCACACCGTGCCTGGACTCTCTGACCCACAGAAACTCAGATAATAAGTGGGGGTAGTTTCAAGCCACTAAGTGTGTGTGGTTATTTGTTACAGCAGCAATAGAAAGCTAATATGCTTATCTTCTCTCAGTCTTTGAGTATAAATGTTCTTATTTGAATTTTCTGGATTGATGAAAGTAAAATTCAAAGCAGAACTGAGATTTGAATCTAGATTTCTATGGCTTCAAAGTGCTTTTTCCCCTGAGATATTCTGCTTCCTTCCATGAGATGTTGAATGCCTTGTAAAATGTACATAGTGCTATGTAAATAAAAGGTAAGTTTATTAGTATTAGGAGTAATGTTTATTCCATAAATGTAAATATGTTTTAAGAGTAAATGACCAAAAAAGATACTGAACTATAGCAGACACAAAAGTAGTTTTGTTTGGATTTTACTTTCAAGTCTAAAATAAAAATAAGAGAGAGCTATTGTGTTGTTCTTTATGCCTTTTACGAAAATTAAACAAGCCCATTTTTGTTTGTATAAATAATTAAGAGACCCATTTTAGTTCTATGACTTTGTGGCAATATCGAATTAAAGCAAAGTAGGGATGGAAAGTTTAATCCATCTTTTATTTTCTAAGAGACTGAATTGCTTTTTTGGTCTGGCAGGTGGATGAATTACTTTTCCCTGGCAAGAATTCTCTGATTACACTCACCTATATGAGGGAAACAAAGAAATAAGTGACAGTTTAGGATTTCATGAGGTTAAACTTCGTTGAAAAACAGAATTTACATGTAAAAATTCTAATGTCAACCTTTCATGATGATAAATCTTTGGAAAGAATCCATATGAAAGAGCTCCTTACTGTGTATGTAGAATTTTCCCAACCTTTGCTCTGAAAGAAATTAGGAATTGAGGCTGATATTCCTCATATCCATTGAGGATAATATTTTCAATTTATTAGATAATATTTGTCCTCTTTCTAAACTCTAGCACCAGTTTCAGACTGTTGCAGATCACTAAACCGTTTGTATTTACATTATTTGGGTGAAGCCCACCTGCGGATCGGTGATAATCGCCTTGCTCTCGTTTCTTTGTGTCTTCAGTGTCCATGCTTGAAATTCAGTATTCCAGATGATTTTTTTTTTTTTCCATGAAAGATAAACATAAATGCAGACAAACAAGCAAAAGTCTCCTTACGTTTTCATGGTTTAGGACTACAGTATTTAAGAAGATTACAATTACGATAAGCAAAAAAATAACAGAAACAGGTGTGGAATGCTCATTTCTAAGACACCAGGAGTTCTATTTCATTTGTGTCATCTGAACGTCTCCGCTGCATCTAACTTTTTCTTTTTCTCTCGTCCCCATAGGAATACTATGACAAAGGAGATTACATTATTAGAGAGGGCGAGGAAGGAAGTACCTTTTTCATTTTAGCAAAAGGAAAGGTAACTATTAGTTAAAGCTTACTTAAAGTAAATCAAAGAATCGTTATCAAATCTGTTGGCCATAAACGCAGCAGTGTTCTGCATTGCAGCCTAAGTCCTCTGTCTGCAGTGAGCAGTTAAAGGACCTTCTGCTCAGAAGAGTCCTGGGGAAGCGGCGGGGGGCAGTCTGAGCACTGGCTTTGAGCCCACAGGAGACTTGTCTTGGGTTCCAGCTGATTTAGTAATTTCTTAGTGACCTTAGTCAGGTCACTTGGCTTTCTTTGGATGTCGTTTCATTGTGTATAAAGTGACTGGATTATTTCTAATAATCCAATGAGTGTGTGATTCTCAGCCCAGGGGTCTAAGATCAAGGGCTGGAACATTTCCCCAACCCACTGATAGGACAAACAACAGGTGGAAGAGAATGAACTAGACAATTGAGGACAGAATCATCCGGCATCAAGCTGTAGAACAATATGGCTCAGAACTTCAATTCGTACACAGTTGCTCAAGTTGATTTAGATGCTGATGAAAATTTTACGCTAATATAGACAACAAATCTTTTTTTTAACTAGATGTTGAGTGGATAACATGTTGCCGGTTATTCCCAGCTTGACTCTTTACAATGTTCCTCAGAGACAAAAAGCATTTGTGGAATATTGATGGAAAGGATAAAATCTTGAGCACCTGTGTCTATAAACTGTCAGATTTTCACAAATGCTCTTTCTTCCATGGAAGAGTTTATCATCAGAGAATCAGACACTGACCTTTGTAAACTGGTTTTGTGGTTGAACTTTGAACTGGGCCCCCAGTGACGGGAAAAAAAATTTTAACATAATAGTTTCAGAAACTCTTCAACACTCAGAACCACTTTTTATCATTTCTCCTCAACCTGGACCTCATACTTTGAAAGAATCCTGGTTAATAAGCAAATTGCATTTATCATTTAAAAATTTTTAAATTTATTGTGATTTCCATAAGTGCTAACCAGAATTTCTAGTCAGAATGATGCAGTCCTTCTTACCATGTTGAACTGGAATAATTCTAGCCACAAAAAGGAATATTGAAGTTTTTGTTTGGCTCTGCTATGGGGGTTCTTGAACCTTCCTGGGCTGTGGATCGCATTGGGACTGTCATGAAAGTTGTGGACCCTCCTCTATATCCACATTTTGCATTCAGTTTTAGAGGGTACACAGGAATCAACAAGTCAGTCATGGACATGAGATTTAGAACTCTTGATACTCAGTCTTATTCGTGATTGATTCGTCAACTCCATTTGGCTTTTTGAAAAAATAAAGTTCCCACAGGACCATTATTATTTCCTTTGAGCATCCTTAGGAAGGAATAACTGGATTCACGTAAAAAAAATTATAACTTTGAGTGGTGAGGTTTAGATGGAGAAGCTTCCTCTTATAAAAGGTGGATTGTGTTCAATCACAGGATTTTCTAGTCCATCCAAATGAGGTGACTATAGTTAGATTGTCATAACTACTGCAAAATTAAAGCAAAGGCTTTGATTTTTCCTTATTGAGTCAAGTTTATACAGAACGGGAGGGTCTGGTTGAATGGATATGTGTTCAGATTTTCCTTATTTTCTTCTCTCTCTCTCTCTCTTCTTAAATTATTTGACACCATTTAGGTAAAAGTCACCCAGAGTACTGAGGGCCATGATCAACCACAATTGATAAAAACTCTGCAGAAAGGAGACTATTTTGGAGAAAAAGCTCTTATCAGGTGAATCCATGAATTTATATTCCATACTTAAATAATTCTTTGGTTGTTTTGCATGTGCACCTACCCATTGAGAGTTGTCAAACTGAGCTACCAAATTAATGGCAGCCATTATCCAGGAAATAAATTTTTAAACTGAATTCTAAACAATTCATTGTTAAGCAGGAAATAAATATACTAATTTAGCACGGGAAGTAATTTAGAAAGTCTTAAGTCTACTAGTGAAAATAAAATTGGTCTTCTCTTAGAATTTTTAGTTTAAAAGATAAAGAAATTAAAGGCATGAAATTTTAAATTTTCCCACAAGAATGAGTTTTTATATTTTCAAGGTTTGAAATATTGTCCTGTTTTACCCTTTAAGAAATGATCAAATAATGACTTTATGTATTTTTTGTGTTTTTAAATCATTATGTCAAAGGTAATATTTTCTTAAGAATTTTTATTGGCTCATTTTGCAAGCTTTAGAAACAACTCAAAATAGTATATTTGACATTTCTACCTGAACCTTAGGCCTTTTGAGATATGAGTTTATTTACTGTTGATCTAAGTTATGGAAGAAACATTTGTAAAGATTAATCAAATTGCTCAGGAGACACTATGTGCTTCCTGGAACTCAGAGAACAACTTCAAGTCTAAAAAAAACTTTTCTTAAATATAAATAACCTTATAAAAATTCAAGTTAGAATTTTGAGCAACACACTCTTTTTTGGAGTTACATATGTCTTTAAATGAATACTTGAAGTTAATTAAGAAAGAATTTAAAATTTATGTTATTACTAAATGCTTTTTATTTCATATTTATGCTTATAAAAATGAGTAGTGTGTCTGCTCGTTTTTCTTCCTTTTTAATTTTTGTCTGTGAAGCCCTAGTTCTGCTGATTTACATGTCAGGATTACATTAAGTACAGAGCAAAGAAAAAGTGTTCATATATTACCTGAAGACAAATTTGATTCTTTAAAAATCATAAAGCTCTTATTTTTTAAAGAAAATTAAACTACTTAATCCTAGTAAGTTATGGCTATTTTGTAAACAATTTAAAAATCGAATTTAAAGGCAAGTTGAATTTTTATTTCCCATTTTCTAGCTGGTAATGAACTTGTTTCAATAACAGGGAAATTGTCCTCTTTTGTTTGCTTATTTGTGACAGAATATGAATTTGTTCGTGTAATGCAATCATGTAATACCATTATTCAAGAGGTCAATGTACTTGTTCTTAACATTAACACATTATTTTTCTCATACCTTCAAGCAAAACTATTAAAGTTTGAAAGTGCAGAGAAATTATTTATAAATGCACTATAGACTCAAGATAGCTCTGGAAAGGAAATATGCTGTCTGGTTATGCTGGATCTGAAATAATTTGTGCTCTATGTTGCAACCAGCCAATTACAGTGTTTTCCCATGAGAAACATGGGGATTTGTATTTAATAAAGACGAAACTCTCCAAAGCATTTAAAATGTAAAGCTAAAATCAATGAGGAGGAGAGTTGGATACAAATATTTTTACATTTTTGTGCATTTTTATGCTATCACTTTTTAGGGCCACTGACTGTGGCTCAATGTTCCTTATATTCTGCGTATTTTCCACGTATTTCCATTAAATAGTCCCAGGAGTTCTTTCAGCATTTTATGTGCAAAAATAAATCCGTGGCACTTACACAGTTATTATGAAAGAAACAGATGTGTATTTGTAAACATCTAATACTTGTGCACTGTTTGCAGAGAATATTCCTAGTCAAAATCATGACACTGACAAGTGAAAGGGATGCCATACCTCTTTTTTTTCGAACTAACAAAGCAGATAGTTTACCCGTATCCAAGATCATATCATATAGATATCTACACACATGGAAGTTGAGTGTAAACTACCCAGCTCCCAACTCAAAAGCATACCAAGCTGAAAGGTTTCACCAGTGTCTTCTAGCAAGGATCCTGTAAACTTGGGAGGGACTGTGGGTTATGTCAGAAGGTCTCTGGATGCCAGCTATGTGGATGGGGGACCTCTCTGGAATGAGAGATGGGCTGCCAGGGTTTTCCCTGTCTCATCGCTAAAGGAAGATGAAAGAACTATACTTTTTGTGATGCTGTTTTTGATGAAGTTGCTTAGAGCAGTCTTAATATGATTGCTGCTCCAAGTTACCTTAAATAAATCTCAGAGCACTGAGTACCATATGGATGTATCTTCTTTTCAGGGTTTTTAGTTTGTAACTAATAGAGGAAGACAACTAACATGAACAAAGGTCTCTAAAGAAATACTTTACCTGGTGCTTGACCCATTGGTATTCATTAGGTAATTAAATTTACCATCATTAGATCATATGCTATAATTCATTGTATCTAAAAGGATTATTGTGAGATGCACTATTATATTATGTACCCCTGAGAAGGAAAGACAGTGCTATTAATTACACTATGACTCATCGTCAGTTGTAAGGCATGCTCTGATTTCAGAGATTTTAATGGAAAATGTACATCTTAGACTATGAAATGAAAGATTTTAGTATTTCTTTAATTCCCTGGGTGATATGACACTAAAAACACTTTCTTTAGGTTTTATTCCTGACTGGTTTGTTAGAAGTGAATTGCTTCAATGTTTTTCTTATAAACTTCTTTGATCGGTTCATTTCAATTTTGGCTGCTTATTAATTAGCAATTTCTGTTTGATCAGAGTAGGGCTATCTTATTTGGGCTGACACAGAGCTCAGAATGAAATTCCATGCACAGTTGCACACACTGATGCCTTTACATTCTCAGAGCATTTAGCTGCTTCTCCTCTGTATTCCTTGTGTGCATGCCCTTTATTAGGACACATTTCAAATCCTTTTTTTGGGAAGGGGTAGAGTATAAATTATGATTTTTTTAAAAAAAGCATAATCTTTGGAAGGTTTAAGTGATGGTGTTTCATACCAGTGGCAGATTTCCCTAATAAAAATGGATGTTTAATTTCTCACTAGAAAATTGACTTTCCTGTTTTTATCTGCAGTGAAGATGTCAGATCAGCTAACATTATTGCTGAAGAAAATGATGTTGCATGCCTGGTTATAGATCGTGAGTGAGTATACTGATGTCGGAGAATGCAGGCTACTGCCACCTTTGAAGACTTGGCCTTCTATTACTACAAGGGCCCATCTGTCTTCCCTTTCATCACCACTTGGAAACGCTGGCCAATCCTCAGCTGCGAGTACATTCGATTAAAATTCATGGGAAGGAACCGGGCCTTCTGATCTGAATCTGTCTGCGGCAGTGGCAGATGATGGCAGGCTAAATATTTTGTGTGCAGAGTTTGTACATAAATATCAGCAATAGACTGGTTTAAATTCTGCATCTTACAGAGAAATAAGCTTATTAGTACTCTCATGGATTTTTCCCCATACAATGTAGTGAACAATTTCATAATTTATTGCTAAAATGCTCTAAGCCGTCAAAAACCTCTCTCTCTCAAAATATAAAATGTTCATTAGCTAGATGTATTCCCAGAGAAGTTTTAGTTTAATGCTTATAGTAATTTGCAGAAGATGTGTGTCAATATTAATCTCTAAATGTCTGAGGTTATTTCTCAGAATATTTCATTTTGTGTCCTTAACTCACTTCAAATCAAATTTGAATCTGACTCCTTGGATCTCTCATTAATCAGCTGAATATTTATTGACTATCTAGATATAAAAAAGGAAATTCAAATATACCAAAACTAGGCCAATTGTCTGACAAAAGCCATGTATAGTCAAAAGAAATGGGGCATACTCATATGAAATATTAACAAAAAGTAGTAAAATGACAATAGGCATCACAAGAGTATGTAGATGATTGCTAATTGAATACAACATTTATTGAACATAGAATCAGAGATTTAAAGCTGGAAAGAACTTTGGAATATTTTACAAAATCTTTTTATTATGGAAAATTTCAAACATATTAAAAAATAGGACGATATTATGGACCCCATCATGCAAGCCCAAGAATTATCAATTAAAGACTTTTCTATACCACTTTGCCATCCCCTCCCTGCCTTCTACACACTATTTTCAAGCAAATTCCAAACATAAAATTATTTCATCTATGAATTTTAGTAGCATCTCTAAAAGCTAAGTATTATTTATAATACATGACCACAATAACATAACATGCCTAAAATGTTACCAATTCTTTCTTTCTTTATTATTTTTTAATTGAGGTATAATTGACACATAACATTATATTAGTGTCAGGTGTACAACATAATGATCCAATATATGTGTACATTGCAAAATGGTCACTACAATAAGTCTAGTTAGCATCCATCACCACACATAGGACAGTAATTCTTAGTATCACTTTGAGTTACTTTAATCTTTCCCTTACAGATAAAAAAAAGTAAGTCCAGGTCAGTTAAAGAATTGCCCCAACAGTGTCATCTGTGATGGAACAGGGGCTCCTGCCCAGGTGTTCCAGTGCCTTTCAGCAGTCTTTCCACCATGCCATTTGGTTCCCATAGCGTGTGTTCAGAAGGGAAGCAATCACAATACTGTGAAGTGGGAAAAGTTTTACTTTATTTTTTAAGTGTGGAAAAATGGGGCTTAAAATTCACAGGAGTTTTCTGGGCAAAGAGGAAATGTGGAAGTCTCTCCAGGTGAAGTAAACCTTAAAAACAAAGGCATAGGACTAGGAAGTGCAAAGCATGTTCAGATGAAGGTAATCTTTGGTGGCAGCTCTCAAATGGAAAATATATTGATATGGTATTGCCCTGACAATGCACTGTTTTGTATATGAGTTCCTTAAAAATATATGCATGCACTAAATAGCATTAGTAGTGTGGTAAAATCTTATAAATTGCTCCAAAATGCAAGGACTAAAAACAGGATAGAAAGGAAGAACTCCTCCCCCTTTTCTTTATTATAATCACATAACCAAATATTTATACAATATCTCATGGATTCATAATCCATGTAAAGGATGCAATGGTTTTTATAGAGTTTATAAATTATTTGGAAGTTCATAATTTTAAAATGCTTAATTTACATGTGCATAGTAGAGATTCTTATAGCATAGAGAGTACTGTCCTGTTAGACACAATGAGACATTAAAAGTTACATGAATTTATTCTGTGCATAAGAGAAACTGAATATCAGGTATGACTGGGTTGACCTACATCCTGGATTTCCTGGGACAGTTCTGGTTATTCCAACATGTTTATGATTGGCACTCCCCTTCACTCTGGAAAACATTCAGTTTGAATGATAAATTATATGATCATCGTAGCTATCACTTATAAAGCTAGATTAAGATCCCATGATAATTCTCCCATAGTACTCTTACATCATTGTTCACACTTTATTTGATTGCTTTATTGAACATCTGTCTTCCCACTCTTCTGTTTCTTCATGAGGACAGAAACATTTACTTTGTTCGCTGCTGTTGCTGTGCCAGCATTTGACATAGTCCTTGGCATAAGAGGAAGCGATCCAGATGTTGGCTGAATAAGGGACGCCATCCTTGCAATGAAATATAGTGGCTGAAAGCCTATGGCTCTTTATTTCTTCTTTCCTAATTCATCATTTTAAAAATGCATATTTGAATGTTACAGCTAGAATGTTGTAGCCGTTTAAACTTTAGTTTGTGGAGAATTTCTATAGACCTGTGACACCAGTGTCATATTTAAAAAAGCAAATTTGTTTACAACAATACTTCAATTAGTTTCATAGCAAGCAAGATAATGGTGACATGTAGAATAAATAAAATCAATGGGATAGGGAGGGTGGGAGGGAGACGCAAGAGGCAGGGGATATGGGGATATATGTATACCTATAGCTGATTCACTTTCTTATACAGCAGAAACTAACACAACATTGTAAAGCAATTATACTCCAATAAAGATGTTAAAAAATAAATAAATAAAAACAGAAAAATAAAAGAGACCAAAAAAAAAAAAGCAAAGTACAAGAAGTATTTCCTTTTACTTGAAAATTTCAACCACTGGGAATTTGAAATTGCATGGCAATACTCTTTTGTTTCTCACTACTGTACAGTCAGCAAAGGACGGTCCACAGAGCAGGGCAGAAAAGAGTGCAGAGTAGATCTGAAGGGGGAAATGGAAAATACCCAGCACAGTGCATGAGGTATACTTAATAATGTAAGTGTAGGTTGGTGGTCAGTTAAATGTGGGTAGAGGTCTTCAGGGCTAGGCAGGCAGTAAGTGGCAATAGTACACTAATGAGGTGAACTCTGGTTTATTAGTTTCAGTTTTAGGTGTTTTGAGGTAAATTTTCATTCCTTTCTTTATGTCCAGGAGCTTAAGATTTACTGAGGTGATTAAAGCATGGTTTCTAGAAGAATACTGTTTTGTAGTAGGGAAGAGAACTACCCTGAAAATCACGAATCCAGGTAGATTGTCAAGTGTGGGGTGTAGGAAGCACTGGAAGGATAATCCAGAAAATAGGTTTGTTCGGTGAGGAAGGGGATTATTTTGTTCTCATGGGCAGTGCCCTATGTAAGAATTCCCGGAGACAAGGGACCGGGGACAGGCAGATTAGATGGGACATGTAACAAACCTGTGATCCGTGAGGGTGAGGGAGGTAAGGGGAAGATGCTGGCTGAGCCTCAGACAGGGAACTACTAAGTTAAGGTAAATAATTTGGATTTAATTATGAAGGAATGTGAAATGAGTAGTATTATCTAGGGACAAAGAAGAGATAAATTGTATCCTTGACTTTAAAAATAAATAGCTTAATTAATTTGGTTAAGCAAAGTTAGAAAAATCTGGAACCCATGTAACCTGTTGATTCAGTAAACAGATCATGTAGCCTATTTCCTTTTCACTGTCTTCTTTAAAAAAAAAAAAAAAAAAAAAAAAAAAAAAAACAGATAAACCTGAACCACAAGGGGGAAAATTACAAAAAAAAAAAAAAAAAAAAAAAGAACAATACTGATAAACCTGAACCACAAGGGGGAAAATTACAGAAATGGTGTCTCTTCTCATTGATAGCCTCTTTGCTTTCAGAAACTCAAAGGATCAATTATATAGCTTCCAATAACTATTCTACCTGTGACAGCAATTTTAATGTAACATAAATTATTGAAAAACAATTTGCAAAGCTGTGAATAACCATACAAATAGTCTTTTATGAGCTTAAGAAAAATGGCAAGTTTCAACGGTAACTCTCAGCGCTGAGCTTTTTATTTTATCTTATTTTATTCATTTAGAACATTCAACCAAACAGTCGGGACTTTTGAAGAACTCCAAAAATACCTTGAAGGCTATGTGGCAAACCTGAACCGTGATGATGAAAAAAGACATGCGAAGTAAGTGGAGGAATATTTTCCTAAGCCGGATGTGACTTCTGGCAGTTGATAAAGAAGGGGACTGAAGGGTGTGATTTGCTGTGGCGTAACTTTTAGTGTGTTGCCGTTAGAAAATTTGGGGGAGTTCTTCAAAATTGTTCTTCCACAAAGAGGATACCATTTGCCTGGTATCCTCTACCAGGATAATAATAGTATGGCTATTATTTTAGTCAATAAATAGTTTCTTATTTTCAGTGATGGGTAGTAATGTTAGGAAGAAATTTCCTGATAGGAAACCTTGGGAAAGGGATTCTTTACGTTGACTGGTGACTTAGTTCAAAAGGACATTAATTCAGAAAGGAAGGTTCTCTTGCCCATGGAAATCAAACAGGAATACCAAGGCATAGCATAGCCCATTCATTCTGATTCCAGGTAAAGAGCTAGGGCTAGAGTCTGGGTTATTTCAAAATATAAGGGAGTTATTGCCCATGGTGTTGTGTGTTGGGTTCTAAATGTAGTAATACTGATGAAAATGGTTTTTTGTTTAATAGAAACAATACTTTGTAAAATTAAAATTATTTGAAAATCCTTTGCTAAAGCATTTTGTAGAACGAATACTTAAGCATATATTCACCAGATAGTACCATTAAAATTGAAGAGTCAGAAGTTCTAGAAGACTGACCTTTCAGTTAAATTAGAGCATTCAGTCAGGACTGCATAAGTTTGTTTTTGTTTTTTTTTTCTTGCAGGGAGTATACTTGAAGTTTTTATGCCAAAGGCCTTTTGTAGTGAGAACAATTTATAAATAATGTAACCCAGAACAGTAAACTCTAATTAAAAGAGAATTGAGTATTTCCAAGTAACAATACTTAGACATAAAATATGAACTGTATTTTTCATGTTTCACAAGGCAGTTATTCTGGTTCAGCCAGAGAAATCTTCAAGATCTGACAAAAATAGCAAAATATGGCAAAGATTCTCAGTGTGGAATCCTCCTGTATGTGCAGCAAAGGAAATGGCTCTCTTTTCTGGTTTTATTTCCTCTCCCTGATTCTTTGTTTTTTAAACAGCTTTATTGAGATGTATTTCAAATACCACACATTTCACCTGTTTTTACCTCTCATTGATTCAGTGTGACTTTTGTCTATTTTTTATTGTGTGTGAGTATATCTGTTTTTTATTTGGATAGTCTATCGTTTTTCTCCTCAGATGTAACTGAGGAATCTGACCCTATAAAAGTTGAGATAAGCTCTATGGTAACTATGAGCAGTAATTACTGGCAGAAATAAGACTGTTGTAAGGGTGGAATTTATGTGTGCCGTGACCCCTGCTTGCCCAAGGGAACGTATGTAAAGTTTCTCTTATCTTCTACAGGAGATCCATGTCTAGCTGGAAGTTGTCCAAAGCACTCTCTTTGGAGATGATTCAACTGAAGGAGAAAGTGGCCAGATTTTCCTCATCATCCCCATTCCAGAACCTTGAGATTATCGCAACACTGGGCGTTGGTGGGTTCGGAAGAGTTGAGCTTGTAAGGGGTTTACGTTTCAAGCATCTGAGAGAAGCCTTTTGACTTTTTTGGTTTTGTTTTGTATTCCAGTGTATGTCGGAGGAATATACGCATTGTTATCGCTATCTAAACATTGTTTCGAACAGAAATTGAGAAAGTACACTTTTCACTCTTAATGTTGTGTAATAGCAGGTCTGTGCTAGTAACTTATAATAATATAGCTGCTATTTCAAGCCTCTTATATCACATCCTTTTGTGATTTTCTTTTTCTTGAGGGCAGTTATTGGAGAATGTACCAGTAACCATACCCAAAGGCTACAAAACCTAAAATGTGTTTCCTAACAGCAAAATGTATGTATACGTACCTTCACGATGCATTAACTATATGCTAAAGCAAAGAAGAATGTGTCCAGTGAAAGTGTCATAGAAATGAAATCTTTAATATCATAGCTCCATTTCTTAAACAACTCCCCTGCCATGTCTGTATTTGGCTTTCATTATTCTATTTTGGGGTTGCCAAATTTTCTATCAAAAAAATAAAAAAAGCTGAATGCAAGGAGATGTTTGAAGAGCAGCCTTCTGTAGTGCTGGTCAGGACAGCTGGGAACTTATGGCCTGATTTCGGCTGCATCTTCCATATCACCACCTCTCTGAGCTTTACAATCAGCTTCCAAAGAGTAGCAGAGCGGTGCTGTCAGATCAAGTGCTCTGAGGAAACGGTAGAATGGAGATCTGTGACCTTACTGGGTAGAGTTGGCTCTGAACCCTTGGCAATTACCATGCCCTTCTTTGCCTAGCAGATTTGTAACAATTCACTGTACGTTAACCTTGGGAACTATGCTGACACTTCCATCTGATGGGTGGCCTGGGTGTGAGCAGATCTGAAATGCTGCCAGGAGACTCTGGACAGTACACTTTACACCCAGTCAATTCTTGGGTAAGGGGGGAAGAAATGATTTCTTAATAGGCCAAAGAGTATTTGTAGTGTTTCTTCTGCCATATGGAGAGATAAGAGAGAGATCCATCTGCTGTATTTTTCATCAGAATCTTGGCAAAAGGATTGAATTAACAATGCTGAGGTTTCCTTTTTATATAGTTAGATAATAATAATTGAAACAATAATTCCGCCATTGATTTAAAAGTCATAGGCAGCACTAATGGCAACTGTGAGCAAAATGTGGGGTGCAACCATTTCTGCACAGTTTCATTACTTGTCAAATATAGTCTGCTAATGGGGTTTTAAAAGTCTATCTGAATGCTTATTAAATTTAAAAAATTTCCTTTTAAGGGAAAATCCTGTTTGTCCATATAGAGCATGGTCTCCAACAGAGCTTTCTGCGCTGATGGAAATGTTCAGTATCTGTGTGTCCAGTAGGGTAGCCACTGGCTATATGTGGCTGGAGAGCTTTTGGATCATGCAACTGAGGAACTGGATTTTTAATTTTAATCAATTTAAAATTAACCTTATGCGACTAGTGGCTATTATATTGGATCATGCAGATATGAATCTTGATTCAATATGTTTTGTTTTGAAACTCAAAGAAGTGACTATTAAGAAAAAACAGTTTGTGGCAATTCTGGCCAAAGTTTTTCATGTCACATACTCAAAACTGAAGAGATTTCTAAACATTCAATCTTCTAACTAGAGTATTTTTCTTGTTCAATACAAGCATTCTAGAGCCATGTTCCAGATACGTGAACTCTTTTGGAAATTACGTGAAAAGGAAGTGTGTACACCTGGATAAAATTCAGTTCCGGAGGGATAAGTGGCTAAAAGCTTACATGCTATTTAAATGTGAAAGAATTCGAACTCTCATTAGTTAACATGTTTTACCTAGATATTGCAAATCTTTCCTAGTAAGTTCATTTTGAGGGCTTGTTCTCTTCTCCCCTAGGTTAAGGTAAAAAATGAGAATGTTGCTTTTGCAATGAAGTGTATAAGGAAAAAGCACATAGTTGACACGAAACAGCAGGAGCATGTCTACGCAGAAAAGAGGATCCTGGAAGAGCTGTGCTCCCCCTTCATCGTGAAGTAAGTGAGCATCTCGCTCCCAGAACTTAGCATCTTAGGCTCTCCTTTTGAGTGTTTCCATGCAAGAGGACAGAGGAGGAAGAGAAGGCCCCACTCTGAATTCTCCAGCCCAGTCACAGCGATGATACATAAAATGTTAGAAGTTTGAGATCTGAAGTCAAGAGTCCGGATTTTTTTATTCTTGGATAAATCTCAGGAAAGCGTGTGGGGTGTGTGTGTGTGTTTGTATGTGTGTGTGTGAATATAAAATTATTGTGGCAATAATTTGAACTGCTTATTTAACTCAGACCCAATGCAGAATTTGGGAAGCAGGAATTCATTCAGAACCCCTAAGGAGACGTGCTGCTGTTGAATTTCGACAAGAAGTGGCATCTGGACGTATTTAGATTGTTGAGGAGCTGGTCCTAGCAGTGCCTAGGTGCCAGAAGATCCACCGCCTTTACAGTTACTGGTTTCTTTAGCTATCACCAGAGTTTGCAAGAGAAATGGCTCTCTTGTGAATTCATGGGTTAGTGGTGTAGGCCAGTTAAGGCATATTTTTTCCTAGCTCCTGGAGTGTAGCTTTAGAGATTTCTGGGTGATGTAAAGTGCCTCTATAATGAGTAGCATCTATGCTTTTTTTTTTTTGCGGTACGTGGGCCTCTCACTGTCGCGGCCTCTCCCGTTGCGGAGCACAGGCTCCGGACGCGCAGGCTCAGCGGCCATGGCTCACGGGCCCAGCCGCTCCGCGGCATGTGCGATCTTCCCGGACCGGGGCACGAACCCGTGTCCCCTGCATCGGCAGGCGGACTCTCAACCACTGCGCCACCAGGGAAGCCCCCAAAGTGTTATTGATTATGCTCTTAAGCAACTTGGAAGACGTTTTAAAACTGGGTTTCTAATAATAACTGTGCTTTTCTTTATCTTCACAGATTATATCGCACTTTCAAGGACAATAAGTATGTATACATGCTTCTGGAGGCCTGCTTAGGTGGGGAGCTATGGAGTGTATTAAGAGACAGGTAATGAAAAAGAATAATAAGCAATAACTTTTGTCTCCTCCTGTGTCATCTAAAAGATGCTATGTTCATGATCGTTTCTTAATAATGAAGAAAGTTATTAAGAAATGAGTCTAAGAACGTATTATCACTTGATAAAAAAGTAGTAATAGTGATATTTTCTTAGCTAACATTATAATCATGTAATAGGCACCCTGTAAAGCAGTTATTGTCATTCTCATATTAGGGATTAAAGAAGCCCAGGCTTAGAGTGTGAACCATCATGTCACATGGTTAGTATGAGGCAGAGTAAGTATAAACCCAGATGTTACTGATTCCAAATCTTGAGAAGAGAGATGATGAAAGGGGTGGAGAGTGGGGAAGCCCAGACTGAAAGGCAGAGTGAAATGTCTGCCAAGATTCAGTTTTACAAAAGTGGTGATTTCCACACAATCAAAACCACAGGTATTTACTAAGCTCCGCCTACGTATAAGGCTCCATAGTAGACAGTGTGGGAGTTTTCTAAACAAAGTAAACTGTTCTAACCCCTCAAAGTATAACGTTTTCCTTCAATGAGTTTAGATTTTATTTTGGGAGATAATGTAATGTGCAATTCTAAAACATTTCATTATTTAACGTGAAAACTAAATATGACAAAGAAGTTGGCAGTTTGTAACTAAATGTCCAATGAGTGTTGTGGATAGTGAGCTTGGAGAAGAGGAAAGATAGAAAAATATGATGGTCAAGGAAAGACTTGAGCTAAACTCTAAAGACAAAATTTGGAAAGGCAGAGAGGAAGGTAAACCGCAGGAACATTAGGATAGGATTAAGTGTCTTAACTTGCTGAGTAAGAGCAGAATTTGAATAGAGGACAAGGGCAGCAGAAAAGGAGACGGGAAGGTGGCTTTGCATTAGGCCGTGGAGGTTAATGCCAGGCCAAACATTTAGACAGCATTCCCTGGCTTAGTGGTTCTCAGCCCTGGCTTCACGTCACAGTCTCATGGGTAGCTTTTACAAAGTAAAAGTGCTGGGCCCTAACGCCAAAGGCTTTGATTTGGTTCAGTTGCAATGGGTCCAGGAAATGACTTTTAACTGCCTTTCAGGCAATTCTAATGTGCATTCATGGTCAAGAATCACCGACCTAGGTAATAAGAGACTTTTGAGCATCTGAGCAGAGATTCACGTGTTGTACTAGGAACATATTGTTGGATGGATCTGAATGGGGGAAACCTGGAAGGGTTGAGGAAACTTGCATGATACCTGCAGAAGCATTTGCGTCTTCCATCTTTGCTTCCATAGGCAAATCTTTTTAGAAAATATAAATCTATTTAGAGGTGGGAGTTCCTACTCTAGTGTTAGGCACTTTACCTGATCCATAAAACAGCCTTGTTAAGTCAGTAGTAAACCCATTTTACAGATATGAATCTGAGCCTCAGAACAGCCGAACAACTTGCCTAAGGACGCAGTTAGTGGAAGAAGGAGTCAAAACCAGTTTCTCTTGTTCCAAAGCCACAGCCTTCTATTATACCATGCAGCAAATCACCACCACATTTTAATAATTCAGTATGTAAACCTACACACAGTGCTGACACAGGGCAACTCTAATGTCATCAAGGTGCACTAAATGGGAAAGAGTTATGACCCC